GTACGCGCGCGGCGGGCCACGTATATTGACGTATGGGGCGCGCGCCATATTTCCCGCATGAATCGCTCTTCAGAATTTCCAACACACAAATTACAAGCGGGCAAACAAAATAAATTGCATTGCTTGTTTGCGTTTGTGTGTATACGTACACGCGTGTACGCACTCGCGCACGACACGACACGATGTACAAAGAGAGAAAGAGGGAGAAAGAGAGAGAGATGGCAAATTTAGGTACTCCAGGTATAGGCGACTTCGGGATGAAAAAGCGGAAATAGAGAAGCCGCTGTCGCGCGTACACCAATATTGCGGTTGCCGTATTCGTCCAAGAATTTCACTCGCACCTCTTCTTCGTTCCTTGCGATATTTGCTGCGCACCCTATACCCCCGCGCGTGTATAACCGTGCGCGCGCTTGCGAGCGATGTTTGCCCGCGTGTTTACACAGATTTTGCCGAATCGAAATATTCGTACGGCGTGTCCCTCACTGTGCTGTAGCGGCAGCAGCAAATACATCAAGCATGCACCTATACCCAGAGAGAAAGCATCGCATGCCAGTAAAATTGCTGTATGTGCGGGTGCGTGTGTGTGTACGCAAATAAGCAACATATATAGCGCGCGTGCCGCGTCTCCCGCGAGCTTATACAGCAGAAGCATCGAGTGGGTAACGAGAGGGTAGAATTCGCGATAATATGTTTGCGGGTGTGAATTTAAGTGCGCGTGGTGGTGCGATACTTTCGTGACTGAAATTCACCCAAGAGAGAGAGAGGAGGCTGGGAAAAATTCACGGACGAGTCGTTTTGCGCGTCGCTAGGGGGTAAATTTTTCTGCCTGTTTTTATTTGTAATGCGGGTGTTGATAGAGGAGAAAGAGGTCGAGCGAAAGGGAGTAATAATCGCGAGTAGTACAGCTAAAAAACATGTCATTCAGCCCCTTCGACGAGTTCGCTCGATTTTTAATAACAATTTGCATCCGGTGCGAATGTGTCATCGGTTTACAAGTACAAGTGCTATAACTATATACTACTACGTCACCCTGACTGAGTCACGTAATAGCCGGTACCGCACTTACATTATGCATACAGTATGAGAAATGCATGCTAGACGAGCTTTTAATAATACCTCCTTACATTCGAATGCACACATTCGAGTCAAACCCCCCCTTGTCTTTCCGCGAACCATGTCTTTATACGAGCGGCTTTGGTAACTCGATAGTGCACAAACACTTTTTACCCTTTGATCCGTATGAACGTTGACGGATTATAGAGCACGCCAATCGCGTCATGGCGTGGCGGTAGCAAAGGATAGCAGCGGCAAATTTTAGAATGAATATAAAAAAATTTCATTATTTATAGTATATTGTATTGTAAAGATCTATTAACACGATATTATAAGGAGTTATTTTGAAGTTGGTTTTAAGAGGCTGAAAAAATTCTTCGAAAAAAATATCACCCAATGACAATTTTAAACTGCTTCAAATATTGTATGGACAATGTACAAACAGATAAATCGGTAACGAATTTATAAACAGTATGATTATAAAAGATTTTTACGTTGTTCCTCGCAGCACTGATCATGTTTATAGTAAAAACCGATTAGATTGAATGTTGTCTATCCCGACGAAACAAGCTGTAATACTATACTTACTCATTCAATTTTCATAGCGATAAATAAAATAATCCACCGTTCATTTTAAGTACCAAAATGGATAAAAGTAATAGAAAACCCGAGGCAAACGTCTCGGAAAACAATTTAAGTGAACACGATAATGTTGTTCCAGAAGACAAAAAATACATTTTTAATATTTGTCAGGAGCCATTTACAGAAGAATCAAGTATGATAACACACCGAGACACAATTCACAATGAACGAAAAGATTATTCGTGCGACAAGTGCGAAATGAAATTTCAGTTCCGAAGTCATTTGAGTAGACACCAAATATCAGTACACAAAGGCCACAAAAATTTTGCATGCGATAGGTGCGAGAAACAATTTGTGAAAAAATCAAGTTTGTTTACTCATCAAAAATTAGTACACAAGGATCGCGAAAATTTCACGTGCAACAAATGCGAGAAGAAATTTGAAAATAAATCAACTTTACTAAAACATAAAAAAATATTCCATGAAGTTTTCAAAGATTACTTATGCGAAAGGTGCGCAAAGAGATTCGGAAATAAACAGAGTTTGCTCTTGCACATAAAGACAGTACACGATGAGTGCGAAAAAAAATTTGGACAACAGCATCAATTGCTCACTCACCAAAAGATGGTACATGAAGGTCGCAAAGATTCCTCATGCAATATTTGCGAGAAGAAATTCGGAGACAAATCAAGATTAATTAGACACCAAAAAATAGTTCACGATGGTTTCAAAGATTTCACATGTGACAAGTGTGAAAAAAAATTTGGACAAAAACATCATATGCTCTTACATCAAAGAACGATCCACGAAGGGGGGAAAGATTTCGCATGTGACAAGTGTGAGAAAAAATTTTCACAGAATTCTAATTTGATAAGACACCGAAAAACTATACACGAAAGCCGCAAAGATTATGCATGTGATATTTGCGAGAAGAAATTTGCACAAAAATCGAATTTGCTCAACCACCTGAAATCGGTACACCAAGGTCGGAAAGATTACGCATGCGGAAAATGCGGGAAGGAATTTAGAAAAAAATCGAATTTTCTCGTGCACGTAAAAACAGTCCATGATCATCGCAAAGATTTCGCATGTGGAAAATGCGAGAAGAAATTCGGAACAAAATCGAATTTTCTCAAACACATAAAGTTAGTCCATGAGTATCGCAAAGATTTCGCATGTGACTACTGCGAGAATAAATTTGGACAAAAATCGACTTTGTTGAAACACCAAAAAGTAGTCCACGAAGGTCGCAAAGATTTCTCATGTGACAAGTGCGAGAAGAAGTTTGGGATGAAACTGAATTTGCTATTACATATAAGAACAGTTCACGAAGGTCACAAAGATTTTACATGCGACAAGTGCGAGAAGAAGTTTGGACAAATATCGAATTTGCGGACTCACCAAAAAATAGTCCACGAAAGTCGCAGAGATTACGCATGCGACAAGTGTGAGAAGAAATTTGGTCAAAAATGGACTATGATTCAGCACCAAATAACAGTTCATGCAGGTCGCAAAGATTTTACATGCAAGAAATGCGACAAGAAATTTGTAAGGAAAGTCGATTTTATCAGGCATCAAAATATAAATCACGATGGTCGCAAAGAGTACGCATGTGACAAGTGTGAGAAGAAATATGGCCACAAACCGTATCTGCGTTTGCACCAGAAAACAGTGCACGAAGATTCCAAAGATTACGCATGCAACAAATGCGAAAAAAAAATCGGGCTTAAAGGTAATTTACTTGTACACCAAAAAACAGTACACGAAGGTCGTAAAGATTTCGCATGCAACAAGTGTGAAAAGAAATTTGGATACAAAGGGGTTTTACTTTTACATCAAAGGACAGTGCACGAAGGTCAGAAAGATTTCGCATGTGACATGTGTGAAAAGAAATTTGCACAAAAAACGAGTTTAGTTAGGCACTATAAATCGATACACGGATGTCACAAAGATTACGCATGCGACAAGAACGAGAAGAAATTTAGTCAAAAAGGGAATTTGATCAGACACCAATTGACAGTGCATGAAGATCACTAGTAAACGTGTCTCGAAGTTCGTTAAGATCACGTATATGATATATAAATACGATGAAATTTTAGCATAAAATCGCAACTTGATTACCCACATTCGATTTGATCGTAAGTTTTGGCATGTGAATGTGCGCGAAAAGATGTACTAAATAAGAATCAATTTGACCACCATAATCGCATATATATGCGCAATGGCATCCAATCTCGTGTCAGAAGATTATCAAGTCAATGGATAATTTATTGTCCATACAAGTGTCTCGAAGTTGTTGTGAAGTTCATGCTGGGTTATGTCATCGGTAAAATAATAAAAAGTGCTGATTTTTTTCTTGAAAATTATAAATAAGTATTGATACTAACACATATATTTTTTCTAAAACTGAACCTCTGCCGTTTAATTATCATCACACCTTTGTACACAGTCATGATTGGTGCTTTATTTTTGGATACTCTGTTACCTGCAGCTTCTCGAGCAATGATCATCCGAGCTTTTTTTTCGCGTCCTGTTCGGAGCTGTGAATGGTGATCTTTGAATAAAATATTACGAGCTTCTAAATATCGACTGCCCGAGCATGAAATGAATGTTTGCGCTGGGGCAGAACTTTTTCTATTCCGCTATTGCGTATGAACTGTGTATGCAGTGCCGATGTAATGCAGCGTCTGTACCAATGAGAGCGTCTCTCGCGATCCTCGACTGACACCCCGTAAGGATCTATGTATTTGAGCGAAGAGACAAAATATTTTGATTCAGTGATCCACTTCTAGGTGGCGTAAGTGCCACGTGAAACAAAACCTGCAAAATGAATACAAGTCGCGTACAAGAGAAGAATTCTACTCATGCTCTTGCGCCTTTATAATTACTTATTGTAAAGCGTAATTGTTAATTGTAAACAATATGATCACAAACGATTTTAACATCGACCTTCGACACACAGATCATGTCTGTAGGGAAAACAAATTAGTTTGAATGTTGTCTTTCAAGCCATAATACCAAAAGATAAATTTTACTCATTCAATTTTCTAGGTACTAAATAGAAAGATCCATCGTTCAATTTAAGCACCAAAATGGATAAAAGTGAGAAGAAATCCGGTGAAGTTTTCTCAATAGATGATTCAAGTGAACACGATATTGTTGTTCCAGAAGACAAAAAATACATTTGTGATATTTGTCAGGAGTCATTTACACTGGAATCAAGCATGATAACACACCGAGACACAATTCACGACGTAAAAAAAGATTTTGCATGTGACAGCTGCGAAAAGAAATTTGAGTTCCGGAGTCATTTGAGTAGACACCAAATATCAGAACACAAAGGCCGCAAAGATTTTGCATGCGACAAGTGCGAGAAGAAATTTGAAAATAAATCAACTTTACAAAAGCACAAAAAAATATTTCACGAAGTTTTCAGAGACTACCTATGTGAAAGGTGCGCGAAGAGATTTGCTAATAAAAAGAGTTTGCTCTTGCACATAAAAATAGTTCATGAGGATTACAAAAATAATGCGTGTCACAAGTCCGAAAAAAGATCGCATTTTCTCATGCACATGTCGACAGTCCATGAGCATCGCGAAAATTTCGGATGCGACAAGTGCGAAAGAAAATTTGAACGAAAATCAAATATGCTTTGGCACCAAAAGACAGTCCATGAAGGTCGGAAAGATTTCGCATGTGATAAATGTGAAAAGGAATTTGGAAGAAAACCGGATTTTATCAGGCATCAAAATGCAGTTCACGATGGTCGCAAAGATTTTGCGTGCGATAATTGTGAGAAAAAATTTGGACGAAAAGAGTATTTGCTGTTTCACCAAAAGTCAGTCCACGAGGGTCGCAAAGATTTTGACTGTGATAAGTGCGAGAAGAAATTTGGCTATAAACAGAATTTGCTTGTACACCAAAAAGTAGTCCATGAAAATCGCAAAGATTACGCGTGTGACAAGTGCGAAAAAAAATTTGCGGATCGAAGAAATTTAAGAACCCATCAAAGAACAGTCCACGAAGGTCGAAAAGATTTCGCCTGTGACAATTGTGAGAAAAAATTTGGACACAAATTGACTTTACTCTCTCACAAAAAGACAGTCCACGAGGGTCGTAAAGATTTTCGGTGTGACAAATGTGAGAAGGAATTTGGGGATCGAGGCAATTTGACAGCACACCAAAAAGCAGTTCACGAAGGTCGCAAAGATTTCGCATGCGACAAGTGCGAGAAGAAATTTGGGTACAAATCGCATTTGTTCGCCCATCAAAAAATACTCCATGAAGGTCGCAAAGATTTCGCATGCGACAAGTGCGAGAAGAAATTCGGACTAAAAAAAGATTTTATCAGACACCAAAGGGCAGTGCACGAAGGTCGCAAGGATTACATATGCGACAAGTGCGAGAATAAATATGGATACAAATCGCAGTTGCTTGCCCATCAAAAAACAGTCCACGAAGGACGCAACGATTTTGCTTGCAACAATTGGGCAGCAAAGGGGAGTGCATAAAGGTTGCAAAAATTACCCATACGATAAGTGCGGGAAAAAATTTTGGAATCAAAGCAATTTATAAAAATATCAAAAAACAGTCCACGAAGGTCGCAAAGATTTTGGTTTTGACAAATGCAAGGCAAAATAATGATTGACAATTGTAAATATCTATAGATATACTTAAACACATGTTTTCTGAAATTTAAATAAAAATTTTCCCACAAGGATTGTGAACCATCATTACATTTTTAAAAATGAGTAAAAGCTCTCATAATTGTTTTCGAGTTGTGCGAGCAGCAAATAAAAGTTCGAACGAGGTGGTACTTCTTCTGATCCGCCACTGACGCGTGATGATCACGCCAAGTTTGCGACTTTTTCTATATTCATTCAGCGACACACTCGTATGCACCGAGCTATTGCGTATTAACTGTGCACGCAGTGCCGATAAAATGCAGCGATTGTGCCAATTAGAGCGTTTAATTTCTTCCACCGATAATGTTTATATTACATATAAACTGATAAATGATTAAATCGTCGTGCCTGGAGCTGAGTCACTCTCGCGATCCTCGACTGACAACCCGTATGGATCTATGTATTTGAGCGAAGAGACGAAATATTTTGACTCAGTGAACCACCTCTAGGTGGCGTAAGAGCCACGTGAAATAAAACTCGCAACACAAATGACACGCGAATACTACAACTCACGCACAAGAACGAAACATGCTAATTGTGTATCGACGTTTAACCTTTATATAAAAGGAAACTCCTGAAGCAGAATACGAACGAAGGTGTTGGCATCGGGATGAAAGAGGAAAGAGAATCAGGTGAAGATTTTATTGGCACTCCTCTCACTTTTAAAATTTTGTGCTTGCACACGCGCTAGCGACTCTTTTCCAATTTTCTTTCAACGCGCGACGGGTAGCGATCGCGGTATTGATTGCGGTGGATGTTGTAGCAGCGATACGTTCGATATCCTATGCCGTATCCTATGTCGTATCTAACATACGACACTATACAGAAAGAGACAAATTGGTCCTGAAAGTTGAAATATCAATTCGTGCATAATGACGAGCGACGTGCATTAAAAAGAAAAAAAAAGCTTGGCGATATACATTATATACGAGTGATGCACCTGTCGAGCGCGTACCTGTCGAGTCGAGCTTTTTGAAACGGTCAAGTTTACGCTAGTGTATGGTATAGAGCAGTTGAGCTCGTGCGCGCGTGTATCGCGTCGCGAGAAAATTGAATAACTACGAAAAACATCGCGGCGCGTTCAGGCGTATGGATCTCGACGCGTGGAAGGCTGCGTTGACTATTAACACATTTGCGCACACGAGGTATTAATAATACGTAGGTGCGTAGCTCGTGTAAATCGTGGGACGCGTTTATGCACGGGACTGCGAGTGCGTATGTGTTCGCGAGACATGGACATGTTTATACATTACACACGCACGCGGGCGATAATGCAATCTCGTTGTGTCTACCGCGCGCCAGCGAGTGCACATAATATGTAAGCTTGCGCGCGCGCGCGCGAATGAGAATGCGACATGGCACATCTGTCGTTCTCGCTCGACTCTTGCAGCATGCGATATACGTATATCATACAGTAGTGCAACGTCTCTGTATATAATATGCAAAAGTCGACGGGTTTACGCGGTGTATCCCTTCGAGTGCGGCGCGCTATATATGCATAATACGGCTCGTTATCCTCTCTCTCTCCGACTTCTCATCCGATCTTTTAATTCGATTCGTCCTTTTGGGGCCTGCTCCATAGTCGAGAGACAGATATCAGAGATTCAATTAAAAGTTCCTCATCCTGGAGGAAAAGATCGTTGCATGAATTGTCGGCCGATTATATAATACACATTGCGGTGTAGTGGATTGTATATGAAGCTCGTTTTCGACTCCTTGGCGTGCGCTTTACTATTGTACCGCGACTATAGCCGCGCACGTATAGGCATCTACTCTTTCCGAACTCGTTCATTTTTCTTCTTTACGATTCGCGCCCTGCGTTAGTTGCATTCGTCGACTGTTTTTTTTTTTTGCTTCTCGCTGCGTCTCGAAATTTCGCCTCACCCGAAGCCGAGCAATTTATCGCTGCCAAGGAAAATAATGCCGCGTTCTTTTTTCCTTCTTTTTTCTTTGTCGCGCGACAAATTTGTCCCATTCGCAAAAGAGGTATACGCGCGCGTGCGGCCTCGGAAATCCACCGATATAGACGCCCAGCCCCGGGCTTATATAAATATTCGTACATTGCACAGATATATATATGTTTATCCAATGTATTTTTTATACGTTAATACGCGCTGGCTTGGCTACGTGTGTGTGTGTGTGTGTGTGCGTATGTACAAAACGCGCCCCGTTGCATACATATCCACGCCTGCTTCTGACAAGAAGTTTTAGAGTGCGCGTAAGAGCTTCATAAATTTTGTACATGTACGCAGTATTTGCAGCGAGCGTACACCACGGCGAAACATGGGAAAATCCTTATCAATCCGTAAGATCGAGTATATATGTGTATAACGGCGTGCAAGATTTACTTTGGCAAAGGCACCCGGTTTCTGCGCGCTATTACCGCTGCTGCTGCTGCTTTTACACACACACGCGCGCGCGCGTATATATCCGCATGAATTTGGCTCGAGTCGAAACCGGACGACCGCACTCGCGCGCAAGCTCGCTATGTAGCAGCCAGGCGCATCTATAAAGCGCAGCAAAATGCATCGAGACTCGTTCGTCGTCGTCGTCGCGTTGTGTATTTAACGCACACGGAAGCGAATCGATAAAAGCTTCTACCCTTGCCGCCTGCTGCTGCTTCTGCTTGTGCCGGAGAGATAAACGTTTTTTCGCCCAGCGTATATGTACACGTATACCCGCGCGCAGTACAAATAGCCGTGCGCTCGCAAAAAAAAAAGGACCGAAACCTCGAGCTCGGGTCCACATACATAGTTATATACAGCAGCAGCTGCCACGAGGATCTGCACGAGCTGTAGCGTCGACGCGAGCAGACAATGGCACCGTGTCTATACGCGTGTGCGTCGAGCTCGCAGGCAAATAAAAAGAAAATTATCATTTTATTGAAAGTTCCACGAGGAACCTGCACCCCTCGCCGAACGAATAAAAGCTCCGAGGAAAATTGTCTACTCGGAGCTTTTTTTCACGCATTCTTATTCGTATATGATCAAGTTCGAGCTGCTTATATACGTTCTTTGGACAAGGTCAAGCGAATTCAGCCAGTGGCATTCGCACGAGGTAGTTTCGTCAAGCTCTTTGTCCGTCTCTCTTCCTTACGCACTCTACAATATCGTTATAATACAGCCAGAGACGAGCCATAGAAAAAAACATAGACGAGCGTCGAGATTTATTTCGCGCTACGGTTGCGATCGTCGCTCGGCTCCTCCTCGAAGCAGCTGCTATTGCTGCTGCTGCTGCTTCGCGTTCATTGATATGGAGCGCAAAAAAAGTTCTTAATATCGAAGATATCGAAAGAGGAAGGAACGAATACAGGCAGACAGTCGGGGAATGTATAATATCTATATGATGTATAAGAAATGCTACGCGCTGCATAAATTGTATAGGGCTCGAGAGCTAGACGTTGTCGCAGCACAAAAAAGAGGGCCTGTCTTATATGGGAATCGCAGCGCAGTAAAAGAGAGAAAGAAAGAGAGTCTGATCGTGATTTGACTTCCTCCAAGTGCCAAAACGCCAATATGCTATAGCAGCAAGGGCAGCAGCTGCTGCTTCTCTACGCCTCGTAACACTTACACTTGCTGCTGTTTCGATATTTGCGCGCTCGCGTATTCACGAAACGATCGAGTTGGATCGAGCTTGCGTTACGAGCCCCGTGCACGTATACGATGCGTTGGATACGACGTGTGCGAATCGTAAATACTTAATTCGGAGCGAGCCGCGATATTTTACGGTATACTGCTTGCCGTCAGGTCTCTACGATTCATACATTATAAACACGCGCTTTATAAAGCAGAGAAAAGATACGGAGAAAGAGAAAGAGGTATACCGCTGCAAAACAGAATAAGAAGACAAGAGCCCAAGAAAGACAATGTAATTAATCAAAGTTAATGGAGCCGCGCACAGTGGCGGTGTGGTGGCCGCGTCGGGCGGCGTCAAGGTGGTGCTGGCGCAAACCGACGATGCACACACACACACACACGGGCTGTGCGCGCGAAGACCCGGGCGCGCATTATAATGCACAGAGAAGCAGCAACTCGCATGCGGTAGCTCGGCGTGCAGGAGGGAAAACAACGCGCCAAGCAGCAGCAGCAGCAGCAGAAACTTGCGTGCGCGCACTCGAAACATCCAAGAGCTCTCGAGTTCTCGCGCTCGCTCGCGTCGAGCTACACACAAGAGCTTTACACACACACACACACACACATAGATATGGGGTATGCTCGCAAGCGAGCGTGCTGCAACGGCAGCAGCAACAAAGCGAGAAATATACCTGTATATAGACAATGAGCGCGTGCGGTGCTTATATGCATGCCGTATACGTACGACGTGATGGGACGCGCTACTATATTATATTCGGGTGTGCACTCGACTCGAGGATTTCGCGCGAGCGCCTTACACTTCACGACGACACGACGAAATTGCGTATCTGTCGGGCGCGCGTCGCCGCCGCCGCTGCCAAGACGTTTGTTTTCCAATTCAAAATGTGGGCAAATATATCTTTTTTTCTTCTTATGATGTGCGACTTTTTGCGCACTCAGTGACCAATGTATACACGTTACACAGGGGCTGATTATGGAGCGCGCCAATCACGCTATGGCATGGAGGCAAACAAATTTTGGAATAAATATCAAAATTATTCATTATACATTTTTAAGGATGATGTTTTTTTGCATCAACTCGATATTCTTTGTTGGGAGTGTTTTAAAAAGTAAATTGATTCAAATGCTCCAAGTATAAACAGATAAATCGGTAAATTAATTGTAAACAATATGATCACAAACGATTTTAACATCGACCTTCGACACACTGATCATGTCTATAGTGAAAACAAATTAGTTTGAATGTTGTCTTTCAAGCCCTACTACCAAAAGATAAATTTACACTAAATAGAAGGATCCATCGTTTAATTTTAGAACTAAAATGGATAAAAGTGAGAAGAAATCCGGTGAAATTTTCTCAATAGGCAATTCAAGGGAACACGACATTATTGTTTCAGATGACAAACAAAACA